CCCCAAAACCCCAAAACCCCAAAACCCCAAAACCCCGTGAGGGTATAAATAGGGGGAAAGAAAGGAGAGATATAATATTAATTAAAAATGGACTTGTTTAAGAAGCTTAAGTGTCAGAAGGCACGGTGTGATAATGGAGTCAAGTATTATGTAGTGCATACAAGTGGATATGTGTGCGGGGTGTGAAAAGAGATGGTATATGCTGATAATGATGTCCAACTACTTGCAGTACCTCAGGAAGTGAATAGTTCATTGCAGCTAGGTAAGGTGAAAGTTAACAAGATTGGGTTATTAGGGTCGAGATCTTTCTTTAAATTATGAAATATTAGAGTTAAGATTCAAACAATTTGTAACCTCCTCTAATTTAATCATAAAGGTGCTAATTTGATTTGTTTTGGATATTTTTGGCCATTTTATAAATTCCTTGTCAAATTAATGTAGATCTTTTATCTGTCCTCATATCTGAAAAATCATAAAAAGAATTAGATTTATTATTATAATTTCATAACAATATCTTTATAAAAAAAATTATTTAAAGCCAAGTGATATACAATAATGGCTCAGGCGAATCCTTGATATAAGAACTGAGCCAAAGGGGAAGAGGTTTTATAATGAAACTAATTGCTACTAGCATAACTTTACCGTAATCATTGAAATATTTTGGTAATTTTTAACTAGATCTACTACTATTTCAACAAACATCCCATCCAAACAATCTTAACAGACTTTTATTTCAAATTAATTTTGTGTTATCTTATCTATAACCAAATGCAATCCTTATTTAACTAACTTACTATATCTTCTCAACCCTTATCTAAAATTGTATCGGCTTTTATCCCTCCCTCTTTATGACCCTTCACCAATATCACCCCAACAGATAATCCTCTAATTCCTACTTTAGTTGAGTACAATCTCGAATCGATAGAATTATTTATCAAAAATGAACCAGGACTGCAACAGAAATGGGAGCACCTCATTGATTCTCTCAAAGATTTTCAGAAGAGAGCAAATGAATTAAGGGAAACTTTCTCAAACTTTGTGACTAATAAATTCTGGTCAAGGATAAGCCAAATAAAGCCTCAAATAGGTAATCTTGAAACTTTACAGTGCTTTGGTTTGCGAATAAAGACTAAATTTATATAGATAAGCTCAAAGAAGAATGGAGGAAAAGCCTCATACTTGCAGAATACCTCTTATATGAAAACTCGGAGAATATGAGACTAAGATCCAAAGAAATTATGATACAAAATATCACAATGATAGAAAATATTAGACTCAAAACAACTTTGGACGAAATAAGAAGAGAAAAATTAGACACAGAGACAAACCTCAAATCTAAAATAGATGAAATCTCAAATGAAAAGACTGAGATACTAAGACAGAAAGAGGTAATCCTGTCTGAAGTGGAGTCTATTAAAGAGAAAGTTGAAGAACTTGAGCTACAAAAAACTCAGCTAAAATCTCAAAAAATCTCGCTCGAAACTAACAACACCAAATTAAAGACAACAAACACCACACTAGAGACCCAAAAAGCCGACCTAAACACCTCCCTCGCCAAATCCCAAACAGAAGTCCTCCATAACCAATCCCAAATATCTCACCTAAAACAAACAATCTCCTCCCTTACCTCCACCTACGAAGACCTCAAATCTCTAATCTCCACTTCTCACGGTAAGCCTCCCCAAATTCCTTCTGAAAATCCAGCCCTGTTTCTAAATTTGTCTTAAATTCACTTCTTAAAATACGGCTTGTGTGTAAAAGGGGAAAATGAATAGGAAGTTTCAGGGTTTTGGTGGGTTGGGTAATGAAGGATAGATTCTCAATCCCAATCAAATACAAATCTCGAAAACTCAATCAAAACCCTTACATCCCAACACACAACCCTCCAAAACACCCTCTCAAACACCCTCGAAAACCTCGGTATGGACATAGACTGGCTCAAAGTAACCCAATCCACAAACCAAACCCACACCCAAAACTCCCTAAATTCCCTCCAAAGTACTCCCCTACTCACCCTCTAGCCTCAACCACCTCGCTCTCCTCCTGCCTAAAATCCACACAAAAAGACCACCAGCACACCTCTTCCCAAATCCTTGCTCTCACCAAACAATCTGTACGCCCTTCTTCATCTCTAGGCTGGCACTCTTACAAAGACTTTAATGAACAGTGAACTTTCTATTATAAATCTTTGAAGTCCGAAGTGTAAGTGAGAGAGGTAATTTTTAGACAAGGCATTCTTGGATAAGATAGCGAAGGAGAAGATGGTTGATTTTTATTTGAACCAAGAGGTGGATAAGAAGGTGTTTAAGGTAGTGACGAAAGCAGCGCTTGAGCATTTGGATGAGATTAGGGTTTGGAATGGAGATCAGGTTGATGTAGGTAAGTGGGGATGGTAACTCTACTCTCTCACAAACCCTACTTTCTAACCCAAAATAGACACAATAAACACTTTCCTTCAATCCAGTATCCCTGCCCAACTTCCAACCCTCAAAATATACTTCACTTACAACTCCACCCCTTCCAACTACGTAGCAATCACCCCATACCTCCCCTCAATCCTCGCCCTAAAACCCTCGATCAAAACCACCCTCGTCCTCAGCCGTTTCACCATAACAAAATCCGAAAAATCCCAAATAGACCAGACCTTTGAAGATATTACTCTCAACTACTTCTGTAAGATTATGGTCTTATCTTTAGATTGCAGTAGTACTTGTTCGTGTTGCCAAGTCAGAATAATTTAGTAGGTTAAGAATGTTGTTCAAGGGGTGTGGAAAGTTGGGGTTTTGGGGTTTTGGGGTTTTGGGGTTTTGGGG